GATATCCTCCGCCAGTTTAGTATTTATTTTCCACGATTTTTGCACATGCATTCCTTTTTCGATCGAGTATTACCCTGCAGTCCATTCATGTATGCATTCTTTTTTTGGTTTGGATTCTCGTCAACTTGTGAGAATAGTTTCGACTTGATAGGGCTATTTTGGAGTCAATTTTGATAATTTAAATTGTTTATTTCTTATAATTTTTTAATAGGATATTTATATAAAAAATTAAGATGATCGAATATTGAGAATTATATATTTGAATCATATTTGTATTACACAGAATGAATGGCTATTCCTCAAATTATATTTGTTATTTATTTTTTTTAAAATCAAATATGATTCAAACATATAACTATAGAAGTCTGATCAACTTAATTTTTTATATAAATATTCTACCCAACTAATTCTAAAACGTGAACATCTCATAGTACCAAAGTCAGCCCAAAATAGGCCCATTGAACCCAACTGCTCTCTTAATAATCTAGACCCTTCTTTTTTTTTCTTTACTATTTAGTTCATTTATCATATGCTGTTGATATTAGAGGCGTTCAAATTACGTGGTAAATTGAAGAAGAACCAAACCAACCACTTTGGGTTTGGGTTGAGTTGGTTTTCGAGTGCATTGGTTTGATTCTCGATCTTCAAATTATTAAGAGTAATGTTAGGAATCATCAAAAAAAAAAACATGAAAATGATCATGAAATATTCTCCACCTTTGAATTACACATACAATAAAACACCACACACTAATGAACGGTTGAAAAATCTTCATGACGCATTTCATGATTATTATTTTTATTTTATTTTATTTTATTTTTTTATGATTCCTAACATTACTCAATTATTAAACTGATAGGATTGGATTGATTCTTGATTGAATCACCCCGAGAACCGAACCTATATATATTTAAAATTTTATTTTTATTGACATGTTTTCACTTAATCGGTTTATTACAATAGACTTGATTACATCTAATAAATCCCACATACAAGAATTATTAGGTGAGGTGAACGACTGAAATATTAGAAGCTTGAGTTAGATTTTATAGTTGATTTAATTTGTATTGGCTATATTAATGGATTTAATTTGTATTTTTAATGTTTAAGCTTGAGTTAAATTTAATATGTATTGGATTACATTAAACGATATTTTGCTCTTTGTTTGTGTTATATTTAAATTTTAAAGACATGTTTATTTTAATTATTTAGTATTTATTGATTCAGTTATTTTAGGAAAAATTAGTAAAACGTCCCTTTCCAACTTTTGGTAGCATGAGAGATCCAATATATTTTTTTTATCAGTTAATATATCTCAATAATGTTAGTAGAGAAATTTTAACTTGTCATAGAGAAATTTCTCTTTGAAAAGTTGAAATTTTTCTATGAAGACAAATTTCTCTATACTAAAATTTTTGTGTTAGAATTTTTCAGTGAAAATGTTGAGGGACCCAACTACTATAAAAATGTTGTATATCCTTTATTTTATAAAATCTTAATGTCAGGAAACTTAAACTAAAAATTCCTTATTTTTAATATAGTGTGAAACCCTTGTTCTAACTCGAACCAATTCGAGCTACATTGGGTTGTGTTAGTTCTAGTGCATTATTGGTTTGGTTCTGAGTCCAAAACCTTACAACCAATCATGATTGGATTGATTCTAAATTTAGTATCAAACCGACCCATAAACACCTACTTGATATTGGGTGTAGTCCAAACCACATAATTTATGGTGTTGTTTCTCTTCATTTTATGTTATTTTTATTAGTTTTCAACAATGGGGATGCTAATTGTTTGTGTTACCCAGAAGATAACTCAAGAGGTATTGAATTAGGTTTCTAAATAAATTATTAAATTAAAAAAAAACTCAAATAATAAACAAATAAAAATATGAAGCAATAAAGATGAGAGTAATAAAAATTTAATTCAAATGAAAAATAAATAAAAAAAATATGAAGCAATATAAATAAGACTAATAAAAACAAATTAAGCAAAGGGATGGGAAGATAAAGCAAACACATAATTTATAGTGGTTCGGCTCAAACCAAGCCTACGTCCACTCCTCAAGATTCTTCTTGAGATTTCTTCACTATTTGTCAATCAACTGTGAATCCAGTGCTAATCACACCTAATCCAAGTGATTTTATCAAAAAATACTCAAAAAAATATAACTCTCTTTTACAAGAAAAGTGTTAAGGGATAGAAAATCCTTTTATATTTTTACTCAAACTCTCAACAAATTTTCTCTCAGAAGAAATTATAACTCAATGAAAATGCACCACATAATATTTTAAGAAACTTTTGAATATCACAAATTTTGTAATGATTAAAAAAAATCCTTACAGTCATGCTATCAAGGAGCTCAAGGTTGTGTGTATTTATTTTAAGCAAATTGGACCCTCTTTGTGTTTAGTTGGGAGATTTGAGAAGGAATTTGAAAATAGAAAGAGAAAAGGTAGGTGAAATGTAATTAAAATATACACATTTTCACATAGTTTCACACACATTTTCTTTTTCCTTTTTCAAATTCCTTCTCAAATCTCTCAATCAAACACAACATTAGGGGGGTTAATGTCAATAGAGCCCAACTTCCCAATCTTTGCAACATTGATATTCACGAAATACCCATTAACTATACTATTGATTGCAGCATCATTAAGTACATAAATTAATACATCTCATTCTATGCTAACTATTTACTGTTATGATTTTAACAAATTAATATTGCATAGTTTTTTTTTTTTTTGAAACAGCCAAAAAAGAAACCTTTATTGATGAACAACACACAGTATAAATACAGAGGTGAACATCAACAAAGATTGATGGTGCAAAAAGCATCAACAGCTACAATAGCCAATCCCAACTAGGTTAGCACCAGCTAAAAAGCCCAATCATCTACTAGCACCACCAAAAGTTGGAGAGAGTCCAACCAAAAGGAAAGAGGAAAAAAAAAAAACAAACACAACAACCAGACTAAGAGAGTTACACACCCCTTCCTCTAAGACAGCATCTCACCTGCCTAAGATTTACCAGAAAATCGTGCACTGAAAAGTGGTGCTTAACATACCTTGGTTTCAACCACAATGCAATTCTCACCTTTATCACTTCACACAGCTCCATCAAGTTTGGAATAGAAGCATTAAACACTGTATCATTCCTATGTTTCCAGAGAGACCATAACACAGCCAACGGCAATCCTCTGCAAATCTTCCTCTCTTGGCTCCTAAAACATTGTCCTTCCCACTATAATAGAATTCCTTTAACAGATTCAGGTAAAGCCTCCACAACATCCCACCAATTCAGCATTGCAGACCACACCTTCCAAGCAAATGTGCATGAAACCAACACATGATTCACTGTTTCCAACTCAGCTTTATAGAAAACACACAATGTTGAGACAGAACTATGAAGGACACCAATTCTTTGTAAGAATACTAAAGTCTTAATTCCATTTCTCCAAGCTAGCCAAGTAAAGAATTGGACTTTTGGAGGCATGTAAGGAACCCACACCAATTTAATTGATCTTAACAGAGGGCCTGCTGGAACTAACAAACCTTTATAAACAAAACACATTGAGAACACCCCTAAGGATGTTGCATTCCACACGAGACAATCTGTTTGATTTGCTACAAGACTTGGAGCTGATACAAGAAAGTTTCTAAGCCTTAAAACCTCACTAACCTCCCAATCATATAGCCTTCTCTTGAACTGACACACCTAATTTCCTTCAGCAACCTTTTAAGTGATTCCTCCTTATCCACCACCAAGTCATACAAACCAGGAAATTCCTCTCTAAGACATGTACTATTCCACCATTTGTCCACCCAAAATCTAACATTATTCCCATCCCCAATCTTTAACTAAAAGTTGTTCATATAATACTCCAAAAGGGTGTTATTTGACTCTGCGATGGTAATTACGCCTTTCCAAATACTAGACATGGTACTAGTGGTAGAAGTAAAAAGAACCCAATCCATGAAGTCCACTTTATACTTACTACAAATAACTCTTCTCCACAATGCTTCCTTTTCGTACCCAAATCTCCACTACCATTTGATTAGTAAACAAGAATTTACTACCTTCACTCTTCTCAGCCCCAAACCCCCTTGCTCCAAGCTTTTAGTCAGTTCCTCCCATTTGACCATATGTACCTTTCTTCTTACTTCTGATCATCTCCAAAGAAATGAAGCTTGCAATCTCTCTAACACTTTAGCTACCCCATCAGGCATTTTAAATAAAGATAGATAATACATATGCAATGATGCAAGAATAGATTTAATGAGAGTAAGCCTACCACCATGGAATAAAAGTTTCCTCTTCCAGCTAGCTAGTCTGCTTCTCACTTTATCTACCACTGGTTTCCAGGTTGCTTTACAACTGGGATTAACTCCTAAGGGCAGCCCTAAATATTGCAGAGGCAGCTTATTGGTCTTGTAATTCAATATAGCAACAAATCTGTCCAAAGGACCATTAGGAACACCCACTCCACAAACTTGACTTTTATGGTAGTTAATCTTCAACCCAAACATAACCTCAAAACACCTTAAGATTCTCTTCAGGTTTCTAACCTCCTTATCTTCAGCTTCACACAAAAGTAAGGAATCATCCGCAAATTGCAAATGAGACAACACCACACCCCAACACCTATTTTCACCCATTTAATAATACCCAACTGGTATGCCCTAGTTAATAACACATTTAATCCCTCAGCCACCAAGTCAAATAAGAATGGGGACAATGGATCTCCTTGTCTAAGACCCCTTTGTGGACAAAACTCGTTAGTAGGAGAACCATTAACAATGACTAAAATACAAGCTGATGTAACACACTCCACGATCCATTTTGTCCATCTTAAACCAAAACCAAAATTCAGAAGCATTGAGTGTAGAAATCCCTAATTTATTGAATCATAGGCCTTCTCAAAGTCAACTTTAATTATCACTCCATTTTTCTTAGACTTCTTCCACCCATCCACCATTTCATTCGCAATAAGTACACCATCAAGGATATTTCTCCCCCCAAGAAAAGTTGATTTGAGTTTCACTGATAACACAAGGAAGCACTGCCTTTAGCCTTTTTGACAATATCTTGGTTAAAATTTTATACACTGAACTAACAAGGCTAATAGGCCTAAAATTAGAAAGTCCCACAGGGTTCTCCTTTTTAGGAATAAGAGTGATAAAAGAGTTATTCAATCCCTTCACCAATCTACCATTCTTATGGAAATCCTTCATAAAATTGATCACATCCCCTTTTATCACCTTCCAAAATTTTTGAAAACATAGAATATTGAACCCATCAGGTCCAGGAGCCTTTTTACCATCACAATCCTTCACAGCTGCCTTAATTTCTTACTCTAAAAGCTCTACCTCAAGCATTTCAAACTAGGACTGTTTTGAACTAATTTGAATATGCCACCTAACTTAGGCCTAACCACCCACTCTTCTGCATAATGCTTCCTAAAGTGATCATATACTTCCCTCCTCACATGATAAGGTTCCTCAATCACTGAATCCCCTCCTATAATGGATACTAACTCATTCTTGCTTTGTCTGCTCCTAGCCATCACATGGAAGAATCTGGTATTCCTATCACCCTTCAATGCCCAGTTCAACCTTGAGTTTTGTAACCACATCCATTCAACCATCATATTCAACCTCCAAACCTCCTCTCTAACTACCCTTCTTCTAAATTCTCAATCTAATTAAGCTCTCTGGTTTCAACCTTTAGGTCCAGGTTATGCACCTCATCCTCTGCTACCTTCAATTTAAATGACATATTTCCATACACCTCCTTATTCCATATTTTGAGTATCTGCTTCAGAGCTTTCAATTTGCTGCGTAATTCATAGCCAGCCCAACTATGTACCATAGTCTCCTTCCAAGATTTTATCTACAAGTGAAGCAAAGGAAGGGTGCAAACACCATGCATTTACAAACCTAAATGGCTTAGGACCCAGTCCCTTTCATCCTCCATCACTAATAAAGGGCTATGATCTGAAATGAGCCTAGGCAAGCCCCACAATTTAATCTTAAACACCTCCAACCATCGTGGGTCCACCAATACCATGTCTATTCTACTCCAACTCTCCCCATCTGCTGAGTTACACCAGGTAAACTTTCTTCCCAATAATGGCAAATCATTCACTTCACACTTCTCAATGAACTCATTCAAATTTGCTATAACCCTATCCCTCCTAGAGCAGCCTTTCCTTTCACTTATATATCTAATCTCATTAAAATCCCCACATAAGCACCATGGTTTAGGAAAATCCTCTTTTAGTTTAAACAGGCTATCCCAAAATTTCCCTTTAGTTCCCACTTCATTAGGTGCATACAAATTCAAAATCACACATTCAAAAGAGTTAAACAACATACCAGATAATAGAATAAATCTCCTACTACTGCAGCAATCTACCAATTGGAATACCTAAGGATCCCAAATGCAAAGAAGCTCACCAACAGATCCTTCTGAGCCCACTGCCATATACTCCATTCTATCCCTTCTCCAAATTGCTCTGACTTCTTTATCTGTGATATCTGTCTTCTTAGTTTCTTGAAACAAAACAATATCTACACTCCTCTCCTTCAGCAACTTCCTAATCTTTCCTTTCTTCTCACTCCTCCCAATACCTCTACTATTCCATACTAATATCTTCATCAAGAAACAACTAACACACCTTACAGGCCCCTTTTTTATTACAATCTATGCAACTAGTCCCCTTACTCCTCCAATTCTTTCCTTATCTTTTATCTCAAGCTCCACAATTTTGCTAAGAATTTAAACTTCTTTTCTATGATACTGCAAACCTAATAATGCTCCTATATGTACTGTTGCTTGAGCCTCACTAAGAATCCTTCTACCTTCAGCATTCCCACTGTCAATAGATGCTGATAATGAAGCTTCTACAACAGAGCCCCTGAGGACTGACTGCTTCAAGGTTGGTTTACTTGTTAAGGCTTCCTTATGGCCATACCTACTCACAAGATCAATAAAAGCCCTTTTCTGAGGTTGAATCTTACCTTTTTCCTTTCGGGTCCATTTTTTTTTACCTTTTTTCCTTGTATTTATTGTCTTACTATGACTCTTATTCAATAGAACTGTTGAGCCCATTACCTATCTAATGTTTGGACCATCTGCCTCAATCCATTCATCTGGATGGAGTACATGATCAGTAGGCCTAATCGTTAGAGGAGGTAGCCCCCCCAGCGCATTAGTCACCAAATTATAGCCTAAAGCCACTTCTAAATTCAGTCCAGGCTTAAACAGGCTAGACCTACTTAAACTCCTCATATATCCAGGCGTGTATAGCTGATCATCACACTGTTGACACTTGTCTGCAGAACTGGATTTTGAAATTCCCACCATCTTCTTTTCTTGGCATGCTTCAATCTCGAGCTCCTTCATCATTGCACCAGATGACTTTGTAACTACCGTCTCACTTAACCCAACCACCTCTTTGTCCACCTTCATGTTGTTCATCTGTCCATATGTCAGAGCCCCTCTAGCCAATGCATCACATTGCTCCAACACATCAGTTGACTCATCAACATTGTCATCATCTTCTTTCTCTTCTCTAACTCTTTCCTCCATAGCCTGATTAGACTGATCATTTGAATTGAACTCCTCCTCCAAATGCATATGGTGCTTATGGATATACGCTTTTGAACTTGTTTGTACTACTATGTTCTGTTCTTCACATACTCTTATTGGGAACAATATCCCCTTCCACTCCAAGTTTATCACCTTCTTAATGGGCTCCATGCATTTTGTAACAAGCTTTATCTTTCCACAAGTAAACGAGGTTGTTTGATCCAAATCACCCCTAATACAAATAATTTCACCCCATAGACTTCCGATCCTACTCAGGTTGGTTCTATTCCACAGATTCAAAGGTAGTCCATAACAACAAATCCACACACATCTATCTTGTTCCATCACCAACCCTTGTTCCCAAATAACTATATCCTCACATCAATCCCCAACCATTTCCTTACTGCCTTCACCTTAGATTTCAACTCCTCATTCGACTTAAAGGACAGTATCCTCTCACGACCACACCCTTTCTTGCCACTATTTCTTTCATTCCTCTACACTCAAGCTCCATCTTCAAATCAACATCTATGTACTCCACTTTCATACGAAGAATCACACTCTCATATAGCTATTCATTGCCTATTTCTGCAACCTTTATTGTTGCAACTTCTCCTACAGTATTGCTCCCTTTTACTGTATCCACAAAAGTTCTCTGCCCCATGAATTGGTTCTCAGCCTTCCTGTCTTTTGCTTGATGAGATCTTTGCACAATTTGATTCCTTGGTTGAGATTGCATTAGGCCATCCACCTTTCTTTCCCTTCCAAAATCAGTATTCTTCACCAATAGTACCTTGCCATCCACCCATAACCCATTAGCGTTTTGCAGTGCTACTTTTGCTACGACTTCACAACTAAACCTCACAAATCCAAATCTTGATTGTGTTACTTGTCTCCTCTTGTGTGGTATGAAAACATCTTTAACAACACCAAACTTCATGAATAAATTGGACAAGCCTTTAGGTTCCATCTTTTGTGGAAGATTATCCACAAACAAAAAATTAATTTTTAAAAATTAATCATGTAATTTTTATTAATTTTTATCAATTTTACATAATTTTATCATTGGTGGATAAAAATAATTTTAAAAAAATTTAAAATATTTTTTTGACATTTTTGTCAAATTAGTTTATATTTTATTAAATTGACAATTTTGCCCTTGAAATTAAACAATGGTATCTTCAATTTTCCTTATTTGGAACAAGATTCAAAATTCAAGGTCAAATATATCACAATTGAAAAGTCAAGGACCAAAGTGACACGAGTCCCAAACTACAGGGATTGTTAGTGTAATTTGTCCTAGTTTAAATGATTAGCTAAAATAAAGAGCGTGGTTGGAGAACACAATAGCTAAAGTAATTAGGTAAAATAAAGAGTGTACTTTTTTTATATTTTAGCTAGTGAAAAGTAGAGAGTGTGGTTGGAGTTGCTCTTATTGGGAACAATATCCCCTTCCACTCCAAGTTTATCACCTTCTTAATGGGCTTCATGCATTTTGTAACAAGCTTTATCTTTCCACAAGTAAACGAGGTTGTTTGATCCAAATCACCCCTAATACAAATAATTTCACCCCATAGACTTCCGATCCTACTCAGGTTGGTTCTATTCCACATATTCAAAGGTAGTCCATAACAACAAATCCACACACATCTATCTTGTTCCATCACCAACCCTTGTTCCCAAATAACTATATCCTCACACCAATCCCTAACCATTTCTTTTACTGCCTTCACCTTAGATTTCAACTCCTCCTTCGACTTAAAGGACAGTATCCTCTCACGACCACATCCTTTCTTGCCACTATTTCTTTCATTCCTCTACACTCAAGCTCCATCTTCAAATCAACATCTATGTACTCCACTTTCATACGAAGAATCACACTCTCATATAGCCATTCATTGCCTATTTCTACAACCTTTATTGTTGCAACTTCTCATACAGTATTGCTCCTTTTTACTGTATCCACAAAAGTTCTCTGCCCCATGAATTGGTTCTCAGCCTTCTTGTCTTTTGCTTGATGAGATCTTTGCACAATTTGATTCCTTGGTTGAGATTGCATTAGGCCATCCACCTTTCTTTCCCTTCCAAAATCAGTATTCTTCACCAATAGTACCTTGCCATCCACCCATAACCCATTAGCTTTTTGCAGTGCTACTTTTGCTACGACTTCACAACTAAACCTTACAAATCCAAATCATGATTGTGTTACTTGTCTCCTCTTGTGTGGTATGAAAACATCTTTAACAACACCAAACTTCATGAATAAATTGGACAAGCCTTTAGGTTCCATCTTTTGTGGAAGATTATCCACAAACAATGTATAAAGTGCTGGCACTACAACAAAACTGACTTTTTACGGCACCACATCAACGACATACAATAAATGCAAGCTATAGTTTCTCACTTTTATGACTTACTTTTTTTGCACATCGTAAATACTTTTCCAACCATGACGTGTCTATTGCGTAAGCCATGAATGCTAATAATGATAATTTTTTTACAGCTTGCAATATTAGTCGTAAATAATAAAACTTTCTACAACGTGCATATAGCATGCTGTTAATACGTCAATTATACACGACATGCGTCACCAGCTGTTAAAAATATTGAACATTTCACGACGCACAAAAAATCAGCCGTTAAAAATATTACACTTTTTACGGCGCACAACAAATCAACCGTTAAAAAGTACACTTTTCACGACACATATATGCTAGTCGTTAAAAATATTTTACTTTTCACGACACACAATTTCTGTCATGAATGACTAAAATAAAAATAGGTGTCAAAATAAAAATTTTGAGCGCCAAAAAAAAAAAAAAAAAAAAAAAAATTAAAAAAAAAGATTAGAAAAGGGACCGAGCAGAAAGGGAACCGAGTAAACACTCTGCCACACGATCTCTCCATCTCTATGTGCTTTCATCATCTCCATGCAAGAACATTACCATGGAAAATACTCTCCAAACCCCTCTCTCTCTCTCTCTCTATATATATATATATATATGAAACCCCAAACCCAAATCGACATCAAGAGCTCCAAGAAGCAAAAGCCTCTTCAAGTTGAACACAATGGTGTGAATCTATTGACTCAGACCTGATGTTCGATTCTGATTCATCTATTCTAGGAGTAGCCATAACAACTAGTGAGAAGGAGAATAATGAATGAAGAAAAGATGCAAAGAGAGAACTTTGAGAATAGAAGAATGAAGAGAGCGAGAGAGAGAGAAGTAACGATGAAGATAGAGAAAACTGTCGGAAGGAGAACGCTTGAAGGGGACGGAAGAGACAAATGCATGCCACTCGGCGAAGAAAAAATCTTCGACCTATCATTCAGGCTTGGATATTCAAACTAGGGTTTTGATTTGGGGATTTTCATTGAAAAATTAGGGTTTTGATTGAGCAAATCAAAAATTAGAATTGACTTTTAGGCTATGAAATTTTTTATTTTATTTTAAATTTCTTGAATGTGAGTTGGGGAAAATATCTGAATCTGAATTGGAAAAATTAAAACCTGAATGTGAAATTAGGTTCTTGGGTTGAACACAAAAATTGTTTGTTTGTTTGTTTTTATTTAATTTTTTGAATCTAAAGAAATTGGGTTCTATCACAAAAATTAGGGTCCTATAGTTGTGATTCTATAAAAAAAAATTAATTTATGGAATCTAAAACTAGAGAATCCTACAGGAACTCCATTAGTATAAAAATATACTTTATTGAATTAATTTGTTGAATTTATTATTATTATTATTATTCAGGACCAGAGTTGAATTGTTGTTTTTACCTTGTGAGAATTAGGATAATGTCTATCTCAAGCTTCAAAGAGGATGTGAGAAATGCCTGGTTCTTGTTGAAGTGGTCACTTCCTAGCTCTATTATGAAATCAGGCCAAGGTTAGTTGTTGGGGGTCTAGAATTTTTGTGCGGATACTGATTTGGAGTTAACACGCTGATTCGCTTGTCCAAGTTGATCCGCCATCTTTGACCCATGCCACAAAATAATGTATCAGGGACCTGGCATTGAAAATATGGTATAGAAACAAGTTACAAGGCATGGTAGGGGTATTATTTAAATTTGGCGGTTGCTTGCACCTGCGAGATCATCTCATAGTCCCCAAAATTTGGACAACTACTGTGTAATGGCCTCTATTATGTGAATCTAATTTCATGTTTGATTGTGATGACCCACATTAGACTTTTGCCCTACATGAACGACGCTGGTGCATGGGGTAATTGCTTATAATGGTAATTTTTATTTTTTATTTTATTGTATTTTATTACCGAGCTTATTAGAGAAGAAGTGCTGTTTGTATTTTATATTAGAGAAGTACTGTATATAGTTGCATATTTTAGTTCCTATTTACCGAACTGGTGTCTTAGTAATTGCCCTGCAGCTTACGCTGGTGGTCCATCGCCTGTGTGATTTTTTTATTTATTTTTTGTTTTTCAGTTGCTCTTTACTGAACAACGAAAGTTTATTATTATGCTTGTCAAAAAATCTGATTTCCCTTTGTTTTGCTGTGGTGGTTGTTTTTTTTCTTTTTAGTCTGTAAACTTTTTTATGTTATAGTTGTAATAGTCTCTAGTGGTTTATTTATATTTATAGGACCTAATTTTGGCTTTCTATGTGGACTATACATAGCCTTAATTATGATAGTAGTTCTTCTTTTTGAGTTTTATTTGGTTTTTTGGTCCAGTAGCAGGTCTGTATTGCTTTGTAGCTCTGTGTTGTCCTTGTTCCTACCCTTCATCTGCTTCTATGCTTCTGTGGTGCTTGAACAGGATTTTTTTTTTAATTTTTTTTTTTATGTTTTGTTTGCGGTTTTTTTGTTGTTGGTGGTTGTGTCTTTGTATAGTTGGTTAGTTCCTAGGGCATGCCTCTTGTATCTTGTATATTTTTGTCTTTTTATTTATGACTTATTCACCCAAAACATATGAATGACTCTATAATGTTTGGTTTGTGTTTGAGAGATGTGTTTTAGAGATAAAAAGTACGAAAAGTTGTTTGGTTTGGTTTTTTTCAAAAGATGTTTTGGAAAATTATTTTGAGAGAGAGTTTTGGAAAAAGTGATTGATTTGATGTGTGTGAGAGAGAGATTTGTTTGGAAAACTTGTTTGGTTTACAAGTTTTGAGAAATTTTTTTGAAAAAATTTGTTTGGTTTGATTACTTTTAAAAACTTATTTGTAGAGAAAATTTCCCAAAAAAAGGGGTTTTTTGGGAAAATGTTTTTTTTTTTTTTTTAAACTTTTTTGTGGGTGCTAACGCATGCCCCTCTTTCATGGGGTAGTTTCATAAATCTACTTTGGCATTGGTTGTTGCCAAGGCCATTTTCAGTTTTTGTCCGCATGTGGCTAGAAAAGCCTCTTTTGTCCACATGTGGCTAATTTAGCCTGAGATCTCCTTCCCAAACAGGCTCTCAAACATATAATTATCGATATCCAGTCATCTTAATTTTTTGCATGAATATTCTACTGAATAAGTTCAAAAAAATGAACGGTTTGAATTATTGAAATCGGTTCCAAAATGGACCTATCAAGTTCAAACACTCTCTCAAGTTGAAATAACAATTTGAAAGAAACCAAATCCATTATGAAAATCTTCTCCCTACAACTTGCACATAATTATTATTTCTTTCGTCCTAATTTATTTGCCTATTTTGAATAATTCAACTTAAGAAGACAAGCAATTATTTTGTCTACTATATTAAAATTTTGTGCCCCCACAAATTTATTTTTGTGCAAGGAATTTAGTGGTCCCACCAAAAAATGCAGGGTCCCCAAAATTTTTTATCGTGTCTTTTTGTATCAATTGTTCTTATTCTTTCAATAATTTAAAATTTTACTGTAGAGCCATCTTAGCTTGCCCAACCTAGTGGAGGGGCTTGGAAATAAAGGATTTTTAAAAAAAAAAAAAAAAAAGCTCTTCATGGAGAGACAACACAAGTTACCTAACCTACAAAAAGAAATCTTCTCACAACCCGAGAGGCTATGTCAAAACTCACAAGGTACAAAGAAATACACAAAGTAGGCACAATTATGGAACTTCTCACAACCCCAGAGGTTAGGCACATAAAACACACTTACCGGCAAAAAAGTTGATCTAGTGGTGTTTCTTGGCCTAATTTTGATAATGTTGTACATATGCCTTTCTATAATTGTATAGATGACAGTCAGTCATCTATACGATTTCATAGACCACCAGATAAATATAATATTTAGGAATTATAATCTCGCTGGTCTCACATTGCTATCGGAAAATATTTTATTTTATTTTGTTTTGTTTTTGTTGACAAGTGTGTATTTCATTAAGCAAAATGGTACCAAATGGTGCCACCCAAGCACAAAATTAAAAAAGGAGGATCCCGAAAACCTTAGGAAAGAAAAATAGCAAACTTTACAACCCAACTACTCAAAAGACCCTACAGAATCCAAAAATTGATCCAAGTATGGCTCAATACATTTGAGTTCCAACTGTATTAAGTAGACAAATACTATCACTAGAGCTTAAACAACACCTCCACACCTTTAAAGGTTCTATTCCGCTCTCATGAAATGATCCACAAAAGAGCAAGGGCCCTCCTCCCCAAAACTATTTCTGATGACACTTTGTTCTTTATTTTTGTTTCTCATGTCTGTGAAGAAAAACATTGATTCTCTATATACCTTGCTATTTATTTTTTGGGTTTTGCTAGATGGTTGGATCCATATCACTCCTGCTATCTCTTGTTTGTATTTCTGAAAAAACTATAGCACTAGCTTTTGAACTTGAGTTTTACAAAATACTAACATGTTGATTGTTGTTTCCTACTATCAATTTCCACATTATCCTTTCCAACCAGTTATTGGAATGGAATGAGGAACAAACTGAAGAACAAGGGGGAGCTGAATCACCTCCTGTTGTTGCTAATGATCCCTGTGCACAAAGTTCCGGAAAGAAAGAGGATAATCCAGTTAATGGTACTGAAGAAAGTGGATGGGGGCAGACTTCTGTGACTAAGCTAAGGAGTAAATTCTTGTGGTGACTTGTTCATAGTTTCATTGAGCATCACTGTTCTAGAATACATTATATGACCCGTATCACTTTAGAATCTGATGTCACATTTATAGCAAGTACAAAACATTCTCAACTATTAACCACTTAATTAACTTAGGCATTCACATATGAGAGGAATAACAAACTTGTATATGCAAAATTCAAAGTTATACCTAGGGTACAGACATACCGATGGGCCCAAAAAAAAAAATACAGCTATGCCACCTTAATGCAATAGCAATTGGAATGATTTGAATTGTTGATGAAAGAAAGAAAACAGGCAATATAATGCATCCTAATCCAACATCTGTGAGAATGTCCCACTGTAATTTCCTTTTTGGATATTGATTATCATATTGAACCACAGGAGAGTACAATTATTATGTGTTTTATGTAGCAATTCTCGTACTCCCCAGTCAACTAGATGAGCAGTAAAAAAAAAGAGTATATCGAATAGACGAACCAACACCCAGTAAGGTACTCTTACTGGGCCTATTGACTGTGCATGCTGATTGGAGTGTTGAGAGTTGTTTGAAGGTTGAGCCTTTTTGGAATTGTACAAGTCTGTTGTTTTCTGCCTGTTTGTTTTGCTGGTGCTATGTTCCTGCTGCTGTCTCTGTTTGACTGAGAAATTGTTCATGTTTGCACCTGTTTTGTTCAACCCCCCATAGTCTTTGGTATGTGGTGTTTGAACAAATCTTTCCTGTGAATGTGTTCATATTGTCTTATTGAGAAGTGAATGGTTCATATAGCCTTTTATGTTGATGAGACCAAGAGTTTTTTATGTTGATACCCTTACTCAAAAAGAAAAGAAAATACCTAAAGAAGGTGAATATTATTTCCTAACTGAAATTAACTGCGTCTAGGCATTCTTAGTATATATTACGATAACGTCGCAAATCATTCATGAACTTGATATTTTAATACTTTACTCTTGTTACTTTAAGTGCGCCTTTCTTTCTCATTCTCGTTCTTGAATTTTCTTTGCTTTTGTGCTTTTAATATTTTAAAAATCAGACCCATTCTTTGTTTGTAATTTGTATACATGTGCAAGAAAGCAATTGATAGGTGCTGGTTCTAAAAATCTGTAGGCCTCGATAGTGCATCAAAACTCTTGGTATGTCTTATTTGTTTGGTGTTGTTGATGTTACTTAATTTTTACATTTTTCTTTTTCAATTAAGATGTTAAATAAAAATACTGCTGCTTCTTTTTTGCTTGTCTTTGTAAAACATCCCTCTCAAGTTTCAGTCAATGATGTGAAATCCAAGTCAACAGGTTGTGTGTTTGGAAAGTGGTTCTCAAATTTGGGACCTGGTATTTCAGGACTAGCAATTTATCCTTTTGCTTTTGAGCATGAGCTAGTAGGGGTGATTCTATTTACACCACTATTTAATCTCTTTACACCCTCCATCTCATTACAACACTAAAAAAAAATATAATTCTCATTACGCCCTCAATATATTACCAAAACTAACCCTAAATTAACTTTTTCATCTCTTTATACCACTAATTTTGATAACAGAGTGCTAAACAATTTACATTATTCCAGTGTTATGCTGTCAGAAAAAATAGATTTCTTCAGCATTTTGTTGTTATTCCAGTGTTATGCTGTCAGAAAAAATAGATTTCTTCAGCATTTTGTTGCTATACATTTACAGAGACACTTTCTTCCAAACAATGATTTTTTAATTTGTGGTGGGCTTCTTCGGTAATATAACGTTAATTAATTTGAATTACTCCAATGCCATGTTATTGGACAATATTTTTTTTCTCAGCATTATGTTGCCTTCCAATTAAATGATAACAAGAAATTAATTTGGACCACTTGTGAAGTGCATGTTCAGTGATACATTGTTATACAAATGAGATTACTCTAGTATCATGTTGCCAAACTACAATAGAGTTGTCTAGGCCCCCGTCGATGTACATTGAAAGATTTACTTTTTTCTTCAAGCAACCATAAAAAAATTCATAAATCAAACATATGTCATTGTTTGCATCCATTAATCGAATATGTTAACACAATTCGTCTTGGTGATTTGTTGGTAGTTTTTCCTCCCTTAATAGAAATAGACATCCACACTGTTTAGAACCTGTCAACCTCAATCATTCCTCCATATAGTAACCACTTCTTTTACAAGCAAGTGTAAGTCTTGATTTTTTGCCATTGCCTCCAGCATCTGATGTCTTTATAATAATGACAAATCCAGTCTTTTTCCCAACGTTAGAAACCCATGCAATTAATGCTTTACGACTACTAAAAATCTAAAGATAATAAATACATTTATATGCCAAATTATTAATAAAACTCAATACAAATTAAAAATAAGAAAAAATCGTATTCATAAAAAAAAAAAAAACTTAACAAGCCTCGTTTGTAATGAATTCATGACCAGAATCCACTAATATTGCAGTACTTGCGTTGTTGCAATAAGTATAAGTATAAGTATAATCCGTCCAGGAAAAAAAATAAAAAATATAAAAAAAATGAAATTGAAAATACATGGTAATGAGAAGCTAAACAAATTAAAAAAAATTCAGTTTGGAGTTACCGGAAATGTATCTTTTATTCGGTAGTTGGTCACCAGACTTATATTTTGTGTTCGGCAATGTGATGTCAGATTATTTTATTTTGTTCGATTTCGAACCACCGAACGAAAATCGAACACCAGTCCAAAAAAATGAAACAAAAACATACTAAATAAATAAAAAAAACTCAAAATTTCACTTTTTTGATGGTTCTTCACCACAGTTTCTTCATCAATTGCTTTCTTTAATGATCAAAATACTATGATTTTCACTTTTTGAAAAGAGATGTGTAAGAGAAAAGAAAAATTCAGAAAGGAAAAAGAGGGGTAGGGATTGAAGACCAATGGTGTAAAGAGATAACAAAATATATTCAAATTTAGTGTTTTGTCTTTAAAGGTGATATCACAAATGGATAAAATTGGGAAGGGGAAAAAAAAAAAAAAAACTCATATGAAAGGTGTAAAGAGGTAAAGTAGTGGTGTAAGTAGAATCACTCGCTAGTAACCAGAAAGACTTGGTATTTCAGGACTTTATCCTTTTGCTTTTGAGCATGAGCTAGCAGCCAAAAAATTTGTAGTCTTTAGTCTTTAATCACAGGTTTTATTAGATATTAATTACACTTAAAATCTATGATCTAAATGTTTATCATCACAGGTTTTATTAGTTATGATTCACACTTAAAAGATGTGATCTAAGTGTTTATCATCACATATTTTATTAGTTATTAATCACACTGAAAAGATGTGATCTAAATGTTATTAATTCCACTTAAAAGATATGATCTAAATATTTATTATCAAACTTTGACAAAACTTAAAAAGTGTGATTAAATAACATACATCACACAAAAAAAGTGTTATCTATTTATGATTTTATAGTAGTGTGTGAAGTTTTCTTTGTTATGCAGACAAGAAATGCAACAGGGTTAGTTGCTCCAGCTATTGCCGTGGGTTTATGTGCCTTAACACATACATTGGGCACCCCCGTCCCTATGATAGGAGCAAGTGGATTTGCTATAGCTGCAGTTGCAATTGCTATAGGAATTGTTGTCGGTAGTTTTAGATAATCGCTTAATAGTTGTTGATATGTTTAGAAAGTTAGATATGCATAGTTTTGGATAGTTTAAACTTTTTATACAATTTAAAACTTAAGGATATAGTTTTCGAATGTTTGGAATGTATAAATAATTGTTGAATGTTTATAATTTATGGATATAGTTTCTTTTTGATGTTTCAAACAATATTTTGGTGGTTGATTGATGCTTTGTGATGCTTGTTTGTAATATTTGTTAGATTGTACAAAATTGGTCAAATGAAACCCGCTGAATTAAAAAAAAAAAAAAAAACTGCATATTCTACGACAGGCATAATAAGTCGTATTATATATTTTACAGCGCGCAATCAGCGTCGTTATTTGTCTCACCAATTAACGGCGTGCAGAAGTAGTTGTAGAAAAAGTATCAACGAAGCACAAAATCTGCCGTTAAATAGTTTTTAACGATGTACTATAGCATGTCGTAGAAAAAATAATGACACACAAAATTTGCCGTTAAATAGTTTTTAATGGCGTACAAAGCATGTCGTTAAAAGTGAATGACTTTCCATGACTGGTCATAATATGCACCAGTCAAGGAGTACACAACATAGAATTTCCCATTGGAGAGATTCCCTTCTTACATTTTCCCTTGCAATTAGGGATGGAAATTTGAAACCGACCCGACGGGGATCCCCGATCCCGACCCCGACCCCGATTTGAGCGGTTTTTTCCCGAAAAATACCCCCGACGGGGAGAAGACGGTATTTGAAAATCAATCCCCGATCTGTCACGAGTCGGGGACGGTGATCAGTGTTTAATCCCCGGCCCGGCCCGATCCCCGTCCCCGAATTTCCCCGAAGTGAAATTACTTTTATACCCTTTATATATAATAATAATAATAATAATAAACCAAATCGGTCCGTATATTATATTTATAATATACTAAACCAATGTATTAGACTTATATCACTTCCTGTGTTGCTCTGCTCACACACACACTCACTTTCTACTCAGTCACGGTCACTGTCCAAGACGCACATCTCCTCCTCTTTAGCGGCGCCACCGCCACTGTCCAAGACGCCGGAGTCGCCGTATAGCTCGCATCGCCGCTTCACTCTCGCGTTCGTCAGTCACCGATCTCCTTCGTCGTTCGTCAGTCACCAAACCAGATCTGAGATCTGTCGTCATCTACTCCCTCTCTCACCACCACCGTGTCTCACACCGCCCATCAGATCTGGTTCAGATCTGTCTCAGATCTGTCTCATTATACACAAATTTCTGTTTCAGATCTGTCTCATTTGTTTCAGATGATTTACACACAAATTTCAGATCATTATACACAATTTTTGCATTGGTTAATTATACACAAATTTTCTTAATTTTACTACATTTGTTTCAGATGATGATGATGTTGATGTATTTTCTGAAAGTTTTTTTTATTTTTTATTTTTGGCCAGGGAATGTTCGGGGTCGGGGAAACCCGATCCCCGTTAGGGGGCGGGGGTGGGGACGGTGATAGCTTCCCCGTCGGGGATCGGGGCTGGGGGAAATTTGACCATCGGGGATCGGGGACGGGGAGTGTGATCCCTGGCCCTGCCCCGCCCCGTTGCCATTGCTACTTGCAATATTTGCACCCATGGGCATATCAACACCAATTTGGTTACAGAGATTAAATAATAATAATGCATTCAAAACATTTGAAGTAAACGTGGTTCACTTGTGTAGAGGGAAAACTTCTTCATACTTAAAGAGCTTGATGCTTGCAAGCTTGTTGAGCTTGTGGAAAGTTAATGCTGTCAAATATAGTTTTAGTTTAAAAGCTAAACAATATTTCCTTCGAAATCAAGTTTGGTCCAATGATATGTATCTGATTAATAAATGGAAAAATTACTCGCAGGTCCTGTTTGAAATATGTGTACACTATTTAATCCAATAACTTTTTGAATAGACCCAAAAGTCTTACACTTTTCCTCTCTCTATCTCTCTCTGTGTGTTTTATCTCATTCTTTACGTTTTCCTCTCTTTTTTTTCTAGTATTTTTATCTCCTTCTCTTTGTCATGTCTAACGACCAGTGATCACACATTTCTTTCTCTTTCTCTTTCTAATATACAGTCACTAGTGACCGACGACCACTATTGATTGCGGTTCATCGGCAATCACCAACCACCGACATCAACTCGTTACTTCATCCTCACCGACGGCGAAGAAAATGAATAGATCTACTCAAAACTGATGCAGATCTACTCAGATCTACATGAGATCCACTCAGATCTACATGAGATCCAATTAGATTTAAACCAAAAATAGCTGCCAAAGTATAATGTTCTTTCTATATCTATTCTTTCATTTGATTTCTTAATTTTTCTACATTTTCTTTGTTATACATGTCTATTTTTCTATTTTAATGAAGAAAAATTTCAAGTTCTGAATAAGTTGTTTTTAAGTTTTAGTTACAGACGGTGAAAACTATAAAATTTTACAGTTTCATCTTTTTTGGTGTTAAAATGAATCATGCTTTAAAACTGTAAAATTTTGTAATTTCATAACATTCTTTAGAACTGTAAAATTTTGCAGTTTCATAACATGTTTTCCAACTTAATAGAATAATGCCTGAAACTGTAACATTTTATAGTTTCAAAACTTACTTTTCAGTTTGATTAATATTACAGATTATTTGCTTAGTTGTTTGTTGTTATTATGTTTTTTAACTATAATTTCTCCATTTATTCTTTTTTTCTGGTAATATTCTAAATATTCCGGTGACTCTCCGATGATGTTCTTGACATTTTTCGATGACGTTCAAAATACTCCGGCGAACTTCCAGTGATACTCCGACGGCTTTCTGGTGATATTGAATATTCTGGTGAGTCTTCGGTGAGTTTGACGGAAGTCTTTGGATGCAGCAGCATTTTTATAGTGATAAAAAAAAAAAATTGGCAACAATTAAAAATATGTAGGATTAATTGGTACAAGTATTTTGTTTTGGGATTATATGAATTTTGAACTTTGTGTATGAGACTTATTGGTAAGTGCCCTTAATAAATCGATGTGTATCCAAACTACAAGCATTCCAATCTGTGCATCCGAACCAAAATTTTTCAAATTCGACATGGAAAGTATATTGTATCAACTAATCTATGGACAAGTTTTTCCTCTACACAAGGGTTCGGGCCGATCTTGAGATTTGTGAGACCTAAGGCGAACTATGAAAATAGGCCCCCTCTAATATATATTTTTAATAAAAAAATTATGCATAAAATTAGGGGTGTAAATTTGGCCTGACCCAGCCCATGTCGGGCCTCGCGGGTAGGGGTGAGCATGGTCCGGATTGGACCGGATTGGGATAAAACCAGGACCAATCCGTTATCTACGGTTCTTAAAAAATTGGAACCAATCCAATCCGTTTAAATCATGGAACCAATCCGAACCAATCCATTTAAATACGGATTGGATCGGTTTAGGACCACGGATTCACATAATTAAATAACAAAAATATATTTATAACACTTTAATTTTATAAAAATATAAACATAGCGTTATATTAGTTCCACAATAGCAACATATTTTTCTATAATAGCGACATACTATTCTAAAATTTAAACAACCAAAAGAAAATTAGTTTCACTATAAGTATTTAAACCATTACAACTTAAAACTAAAAATCAACAAACAAGAGTAATAAAAGAAGATATTATACGGTTTTAGGTTTGAGTTTAGATTTTATATAGAATGAAGAGAAGATACTATGGGGGAGGATGTATAATAAAAATATAGACTATTTGTATACGGTTCGGATCGGTTCCAATCCGGAACCGTGGGACTCAATCCGGAACCAATCCGTAAACTACGGATTATTAATTCTTCAATCCAGAACCGAACCGCGGATTCAAAAAATCAATCCAAACCTATCGGATTGGACTGGACTGGATCGGATTACGGATTTCACGGATCACTTGCTCAGCCCTACTCGCGGGCTCCTGCCAAAATTCGGGTCGGGCCTGCCCACAGGCCCAAAAATTAGGCCCAGGCTTAGGGGGTATTCGGGTTTTAGAGGGACGGGTCGGTGGGCCTGGGCCCGGGTTTGAGGCGGGCTTGAACATATTTTTTTGCCTTTTTATTTTTTTATCAAAATTTTATTATTTTTCACAAAAAAAAAACATTAGGCATCGGGTGGGCTGGGCCTTGAGTGGGCTTTAAATGGGTCGATGGGCTGGGCCCACGGGCCGAGTCGGGATTCAAAAATGATGGCCCAGGCCCTGGTCTAGGGTCTCGGGCTGGGCTCGGGCCCGGGTCCACCCTGGGCCACAGGCGAGCTTCGAGTTGCCCACGGGCTGCAAGCTATTTGTACACTCCTACAAAAAATGATAAGGATCAACAAATTTTTTATTTAAGTTTACTTGCACATACAATTATTCACACATTGAGTAGGTTCTTCGATTACCAAATCTTCGTCATCATTGTCATTTGAACTCGAAATATCTACTTGTTTCTTGGTACCAAAATATTTATCAAGTGCTTTCGATTGAGATTAAATTAATTGCTCCACTGTCAGCTTTTTCTTTCTCTTTTCATTTTCAGAGCTATACTTTCTAGGAAACATGACTATAATCACACTTCAATCCACAAATTAAAATCCACTGATTATCTCATATCTGATAGCAAAGAAATTATAATAAAAAAAATTTAATTAAACAAAATTAGGGCAAAAAAATTAGGAAAAAATTATTCAATTAAAACTGATAAAGACCTAGGTAAAAAAATTAGGACAAAATTATTTATTCCACTAAAATCTAATAAATGAAGAAGGTAAAAAAAAAATTAGGGCAAATTTATTATTCCACTAACTGATAAAAAAAGAATGCAGAAAAAAAATTAGGGCAACTTTATTTAATAAAATCTGATAGTGAGTGAGAGAGAGTGAGTCGCCGGAGGAGTGCGTGAGAGAGAGAGGGTGAGTTGCCGACTTGATCAGTGCTCTCTGCTACCCTCCTTTATGCTTGCTTGGTATGTATGCTTTCCTTCATCACTTCGTGAGAGAGAGAGAGAGAGAGAGAGCAAGCAACAGATGTATTGTATGTATTGTTCTTCTTGGGCCCAAACACTTTTTTGTATATATTTTCATTTTAAGAAATATGGGCCAAACTAGACTTATATATAAATATGGGTTAAATCACACTTATAAATAAATATGG